GGGGGGGGGGGGGTCATAGGCTGCGTCTACACTGGCAGCTTCTGTTGCAGAAAAGTTCTCGTGCAAAAGCTCCAGCCCCAGAGCGCGTCCACACGGCCACGTGCCCTTGTGCAAGAGCAGCCGTGCCAGTGTGGACACTCTCTTGTGCAAAAAAACCACTGATGGCCATTTTAACCATATGGGCTTCTTGTGCAAGAAATGCATGTTGCCTGTCTACATTGGCCTCTTCTGGAAGGGGGGGGGACATGATAGCCGTTTTCAGGTATCTAAAAGGGTGTCACAAGGAGGAGGGAGAAAACTTGTTCATCTTGGCCTCTGAGGATAGAACAAGAAGCAAGGGGCTTAAACCGCAGCAAGGGAGGTTTAGGTTGGACATTAGGAAAAAGTTCCTGCCTGTCAGGGTGGTCAGACACTGGAATAAATTGCCCAGGGAGGTTGTGGAATCTCCATCTCTGGAGATATTTAAGAGTAGGGTAGATAAATGCCTATCAGGGATGGTCTAGACAGTATTTGGTCCTGCCATGAGGGCAGGGGACTGGACTTGATGACCTTTCGAGGTCCCTTCCAGTCCTAGTATGCTATGATTCTATGATAACTCTTGCTTATTCCTTGTGGGGAGAGGAATAACTCTTCTGGTAGAAGCCCTGTTTTACAACGCTGTACTGTAAATTTACTTCTGGAAGAACGCTCGTGCAGTGTAGACAGCTGGTAAGTTTTTGTGTAAGAACGACTGTTCTTCCGCAAGAAGCTGCCAGTGTAGATGTAGTGTTCATGCTACCTGAAGCTGATAGAGAAGGTGCAAAGTGTTCTTAAGTTCCCATTGGTTGGTTGGTTAAGTCACTGGGACTGTGGTTCTCAACTGGTGGTCTATGGTGACTTTCTCGGTGGTTCATAGGAATATTGTTCTAAGTCACAGGGCGTGAGCAGGTGCCGTCATCAGGCTGTCTTACACTGTGTTCACACGCACGCGGCGCGTCATCCATAGCGTCCCCAAGGACACAACTGTGTTGTGTTGCCAGTAACTTCCGTCTGTGGCTCCGCCGTTGTGCTGAGCAGTTGCTGTGTCGTTGGTCCTATGCTACATGTGCTGGAGGTGATCTACAAAAATCTTTTGATTGGCCTGGTGGTCCGCGGACTGAAACGAGTTCAGAACCACTGCACTAGGATGTGGAAAAGTAACAGAGAGGTAGCCATGTTAGTTGGATCTTAGTAAAACAACAAAAGCGGGTCTGCCCTGCAAAAACTCGTCACCTAATAAACCATCTTGTTAGTCTTTAAAGTGCTACATGACTGCTTTTTTTGTTTTACTAGGATGTGGAAGGTAGTGTGCTAGCCAGGTGATGTCTTTATTCACACCTTTGTGATGGGTCCCAAACCTGTAAGTGAAGTAAAGTTCCAAGGCTTCCCTGTGTATTTGGCTTATGGAATTGGCCTGTATCCCTTTGGTATATATGGTCATGCCAAGTTCCTTCCACAATTTGATCTGAGGAAGTGGGTCTGGCCCACGAAAGCTCATCACCTAATAAATCATCTTGTTAGTCTTTAAAGTGCTGCATAGTCCTGTCTTTTGTTGAAACAACACAGTGATTTTGAGATCCATTAATGAGTGCCTGGGCAGGTTAAAATGTTCTCCAACCTGTTTGTGTGTTGCCTTTTTGGATATCTGATTTGTGTCCACTCATTCTTTCCCATAGAGACTGTCCAGTTTGGCCAGTATATGTGGCAGAGGGACATTGCTGGCATAGATCACATTAGTGGATGTGCAATTAAATGAGCCGCTGATGTGGTTGGGTCTAGTGGTGTAAGAGTGAAATAATATAGAAAAAGTGGCTTGTCAGGGCCGTGCAGAACTGTGGCCCCTCATCAAGCTTGGAACAGCACTTGGGGCAACTCTCCTGCTTGTGCTTTCTGGTGCTGGAAGGGAACTGAAATGTTTCTTCAAATACAATCTAGAATATCTGTCAATTTTTTTTTTTAAAAGGACAACTACTATTATTTACACAGTGGCATCAGTCATAGACCCCAGCTGGAGCACCATTGTGCGAGGTATTGTATAACCATCAAATAGAAAGATGTTCCAGGCCCCGATCACTTACAGTCCAAGTAAAAGACAAACCACAACTGGTGGCCATGACAAATAAAAAGAAGGCAAGGTAAGAGTGATAAGTGTGGATGAGTACATTTTAAAGCAAAGATGAAAACCAATTCGTTTGTCTAGACTTCAAGGTTCTGAGTTTTTCCCCTATTGTTGCTGCTATTTTCTAGAGTAGCATCCATTGGCCCCAATCTGCATTGAGCCCTATTATGCTGGACTGTGTGTAAATGCAAATGGATTGTACTGTCATAGAGGGGCTGGTGCCAGTTATGGAATGAGGTAGTTTTTTTGTTTTTTTTAATGGCTGTACGTGATTCTGATCTCTCCCCCCTCCCCCCCCAATAGCAAAGGTAACTCAAGCCCTGAAGTCTTAGCAGATAAATAGTTTTCAATTCCCTTCTATAGGTTGCATCTCTATAAACCTGGAACTCTCTGGTCCGGCCACATCTGTGGACTGGAAGGACCATGGATTTTCCAAGATCAAAGAGTCTTGGCACGCTGCAGGGGGGCTGGGAGCCCGGTGCTATGTGGGAGGAGGGGGCGCATGGCCCTAATGGGCTGCAGGAGGTGGAAGGGTTTGGAGCCCAGCGCTGTGTGGCGTGGGAGATGCGTAGCTCAGCTGAGCTTGGGTCCAGCATGCAGCTCACGGGTGTGGGTGAATGGGGGGGAGCCAACAGCAGGGGGACTAGAAATTATCTCCCCTGGGCCCTCATCCAGGACCAGTCAGGTCCCAACAGTGCTGGACCAAGGAGGTCCAACCTGGAGTAAATTACTTTCTCTTCTCAACTGTTTGTATGATGTATTTTGTAAAATGCTTCATGCACACTATTAGAGTTCTGTAGAAATACATAATGTTTTGAACTAGAATCTTCACCTCCGACTGTGACATGCCAGAGTATTTGTAGAGATTTCCAGGACATCTTTCCATCAGAATTGGTTACTCTTTATTAATGCTTTGTTAAACAGTGTGTAGAATTCCTAATCCCAGATACCAGAGCATAGAGGTGAGGTACACACAGCACTGAGCAGCACCAATAAACTGCTTTTTTTGTTGTTGTAGGTCTCAGGATGGATTTTTTATCTCTCTTCATAATTTATCTGCTATTAGTTCTGGCTAGTATTGTTTTAGTCTGCATCTATTCAGGAAGGAAAGAGAGTTTTCCTGCAAGAGGCCTCAGTTGTATAACTCAGGTAAGGAGTCTAACATTGGTCATGTTCATGTCATGGTCATCTTCCCAGTTTTGAGGATGAATGCAGCCAGCACAAACTGAGGCTCTGGTTTTCAGCTTTGTCTTTCTCTGACTGGCTTGGCCACGCTTACATTTCTGAAAAGGGACATCATTTGTATGACTGTACGTGTGTTTCTTGCAATACCTTCATATATCAGATAATGAACTGAAAACAGATCAGTCTACTCCTAATCTATTTGGGGGGCAATCCTGACCGATCCTCCGCTGGTTGTGGGGCTTTTCTCAGCAGGACCAATATGGTTTTCTTGAGCAGTAATGATGTAAGAAGTGAGAGGTGGAATAGCAGAGAGGGTTGGGCAGAAGAGGCTGGAGATGTGGGAGAAGAAAAAGGGAGAATCTGCTGCTAGTGGATCCTGCAGCTGGCTTCTGCATGAAAAGAATTGGGTACTGGGATTGAGTCTATTCCATGTAACAACTTCTGTATTCTTTGGGATGTTGGTTTTTCAAGGAATTTTGGTAGCAATTTAATGGTTTTGAGAGGTCCCCATACATTTCCATGATGCTGTATCAATAGCCCTCTAATTAGATACAAGCTAGGATCAGGAATGAGATGCAGTGTCTTTCATCTGTCAGGCATCTTGCACACAGTGATGCACAAAAATATTAACCCAGCCAGTGGTGACAAAAAAGTCTAAGACTATGTCTACACTGTGCAAGAAGATATGCAAATGAGGCGTGGCGAAGATCGCCGTGCCTCATTTGCATACCCAATCAGCTGCCATTTTTGCCGAAGGGGCTTTTGTGCAAGAAGGAGCTGTCTACACTTCTCCTTCTTGTGCAAAAACCCCCTCTTGCGCAGGAGCCGATCTTCCACTTATTTTCAAGAAGAACGGCTCCTGCTCAAGAGGAGTTCTTTGCACAAGAAGGAGCAGTGTAGACAGCTCCTTCTTGCACAAAAGCCCCTTCTTCAAAAATGGCGGCTCATTAGGTATGCAGATGCGGCATGGCAATATTCATTGCCATGCCCTCATTTGCATATCTTCTTGCACAACCGTGCACAGTATAGACGTAGCCTAAATGACCTATCTGAAATGAGGTCACTCCAGTTCACAGATGGCGCATATATCAATATAAAACGGAATATATCAATCTCACCAGACACACCAAAATCTGAGTGGGCCATGGAGACAGGATCCCCCTCCCTTACTTTGATGTGGGGGTTCCTCTACTTTGGGGTGAGGCAGACTGACAGAAAAGTTTGTGTTACAGCAAACTGTGTTGAACCTGTACTGTGGATAAATGAAAATGACTAGGACTCTGAACCCCCCCATCAAATGAAGTTGAAACCAATGTTGTTGCTTCATGGAAAAACTATTCTATGGGGTAAGAACAGAACTTGCTGTTCTGTAATTTAAAAATTACACTTTCTCAATAGCACTGCAAAATAATTATTAAGAAAAGAAAGCTTTGAGTTGCCATACATTTACAATACATGTAGTTTACATGAAAATGATTGTCGGGTTGTTTTAGTTGAGAGAGTATAGCAAATGGGTCATGCATCTGCAAATTCTTTAATAAAAATTTTAAAAATGCTACTCGGTACTATGTATATAATAATATTTGCCAGAATATGCTAATAAATCAGGAGAAAAAATAATTTTAGCCATGTGAAACATTTTTTGTTAAAAGGGGATTAAAAAAACGAGTGTCTATTGCAAATAAAACAATAATAAAGAAATATTCTTCTCTTAAATCTGTCTAAATGGAAACAAATAGCAAAGTTCTGTAAGAAGGGAAAGGAGAATGAAAAGTCAGTGAAGTAACTGGACACATTTATCATTATTTATATGATTATGAACAGCTTTTGGTTTTTATTGTACTTTTCTTGCAAGTAAGGGGAGCTGGGCAAACTGATGTTATGTTTTCATTACAAAAAAAATCTTTGTGCTGTGTATGCAACAAACTAAATATTACAAATACCATTTATGTTGTGAAAGAAGTACTCGCATTTCATCTAACAAATAAAATTGATATTTTCACAAGTTAAACAATTACAGGGTAACTTTAAAGGGATTTTTATGTTTAAACTGTGTCTTTTAAAAAATTAGTTTCTGATTATAGTCCAAAATGCATAAACCAACAATTTGGTTGAAGGTGTGACTGGTTGTATTATTTTAAGCACCTCAAAATACGGATTTTGAACAATATAAAATTACTGTACTTAGACACACCATAGCTGTTTCTAGCTCTTTGACAGGTCAACATCCATCCCACTGTTCTCTTTTCCATGCTGCCAGGAGATGGTTGTGTTCTGTATATAGTTCTTTTCAAACTCTCTTCTTTTTGTTTCCCTAATCATCACGTGGAAAGGCACCACCCTTAAGAACCTTTTTGCTTTGGTTTCACTTGAATACTGTTTACGGCAATGGTGCACAGGGGAGAGCTCTCTATAACATAAGAGCTTCTTATGCCACCTTAATTTTTACATGGGGGGAGGGAATGTGGTATCTTTCTGTCCTCTCTTGGATGCAGTGATAAAGCACAATAAACACATTTTCAAACCGTTAATTGAAAGTTAGATTCCAAAAGTTGCATAAGAAGATTGTTTTTCTATCTAATCATTTCTAATACCCCTCTAGCAGCAGCATTTAGCACCCTGATTTTTAAAAATTTTCCATGAACTGTCTTGTAGTATGAGGCAGACTCGTTAAAAGTGGAATAGGTACCCTCCCTCCCAAATCTGCCTGACTCAGCTGGCTTGTAATCATCACATATAATATAAAACGCCCTAGTGCCGTTTTTTCCCCCCACATAAAGTGATTCTGTTTTGCTGTTGTGCTTTTTGCCATTGGTGGAGAGCTGGGTTGCTATAGCAATATAGACAGTTCCACAGCACTGACTGTGCTAAAGATGTGTCTGAATGAAAACAGACAGGCAGCTTTTTTTCTTCCTTGTTTGTGGTAGTTTTTGAACTGACAATTAAAAAAACATGAAGCTATCAAACTGGATATTCTCAGCAGTATCATAGCTTTCCTATTCACTTCTTAACTTACATTATAACCCTTCAGTTTCACACACTCACTCAACTCTATTGAAGTTCTTCTTTTGAGCTAAATCTTTAGGCTGAAAATAGACCTAGAAAGATGCATGATACTCTTTCCTTTTGAACAAAACACCTTAATTTTTTTGTTTTTTTTCAGCTCTCAAATAGATCTTTAAAATTCCCATAATTTCCCCAATTATAATTGGTAAGTTCTGGACGGGAAAAAAAACAACTGAAAATTAGGTGCTTCTGAACATCCGGTCAGCATCTTTAGATGCCTAAATGCCATTAAAAATCTGGCTTCTCTGCATCACTTCTCCTCACCCTCCATTTAGTGGTTATAACGGTATTCACCTCAAAGGAAGTAAGAGAGATTCATGAACTAATGTTTGCAATGTCCTTTGAAATCCTCAGATGGAAGGTGCTATAGAAATATTGTTGATGTTGGATGTTTTTACCACAAAGTGAAAGTGATGTGCAGTTCAGATTACATGGTGTCTTCATTTGCTCCAGATATCTTCATTTATAATCCCAACATGGCTTCAAAGACCAACACAGAGGATGCTTCACAGGCTCTTCCATACACGGTACCACATTTCTTTTTTTTTCTCTTTGACATCCTTTTCCTCAACTATTTCTGATCATTACTGATGGCAGCCTCCCATTGGTACCAAAAAAAGTTGTGAGAGATTGCTCTTAGATAGGGGTGGGCAGTAATTTGATGGGGGGGGCTATTCCAAAATGTTAAGTGAGCAAGGGCCACGCTTTTTTATGGAGGCGGTGCTGGGTCTGGGATAGAGGTTGGGTGTAGGAGAGGGTCTGTAATCTGAGAGGGAGTTTGGGTGAAGGAGGGGGTTGTGACATGGGGCAGATGATTGGGGTGCAGGATCTGGGAGGAGGCGGTATGGGTATAAGAGGATTTTGGTTTGGGGGCAAGGTGTGGGAGGGGGGTAATAGGGTGGGAGTTGTGACCTGGGGGAGAGGGGTGCAGAGGGTTTGTGTAGACCTGGGGCAGAGGATTGGGGTGCAGGAGGGAGTATGGGTATAGGAGATGATTCTGGCTTGGAGAAGTGAAAGAGGAAGTGCAGGGTCTGGGAGGGAACTGTGCCTTGGGAAAGGCGGGGTACAGAGAGTAGGGGTGGTGACCTGGGGAAGAGAGTTGGGATGCAGGAGGGTATGGGCCACCAGGTGTAGGCTCTGGCCAGGAGGTACCCAGGGCGATCCTGGCCAGTTGGCTAAATGTTGGGCACTCCAGCCTCAGCATTTC